CTTGACACTACGCCCAAAGTTTAGGGTACTAAAGTGGAATTTTCTCTATTATCTCAATCCTTAAAAACTAGGAAGAATGACGGTTCAGCCCAGGGTCAGAATTTTTAGGCCCAAAGTACAGTTGGTGTGGGTGCCAGCTCAGAATTGATGCCAATTCACGGGCGGGCATTGGTGTATAGAGCAGGGGTTTTTGACATTTTGAGTGTTTATAGATCTGCAATGGAATTCAGAAATCTGCATTGGGCCTGTCCATACTTTTCCATAAAAACTATCAGTTTAGTCCAAATGACACAAATACCCTTGTTTTTTAATAGTCAAGAGAATCATAATTTTGACATGGCCATGTTTAAATCCATTTTTTTCCTTAATTGGGCACCACTATTCACTTTATGTTTTAACCTTTCTGTCGAGGAATTAGTGCTTTCTCATGAAAAAGTTACATAGAAAAACATTACCGGAGAAGAGGGATTTAGATTGTTGTCATTGTAGTCCCTTTTTTTCCAGTTATTCAATCTATAACAAATGGGTATAGATAGTCATTGTTGTGGGTACGGGTGGCAATAGGGTCCATTAACACCCATTAAGAACTTATTAAAATAAAATTAAATGGGCTAGGTTCAACTCAAACCCACCTTAACTCAATCCAACTCACCCAACCTATTAATCTTCAGGGTTTTAACCGTTCAGTCCACCCCTAGAAATCATAGCTCCACCCTAGGGGTGGAATGAATCCTGACCATGGACTGATGCCAAATCCACGGGCAGGATGCGGTTTATAGGGGGACTACTAGTAGACTAGGAGGTGGCTGTAATTTCATATTTCTGAGGGGGAATACAGTCTACTTATCCCTTAATCTTTTAATTCATTAAGACATACGTAAATTGCAGAAAAAACATACAAAATGCAAAAAATAACAAAAATCATGGAAATAACATAGGAGATGAAGAAAATAACAAATTTTACAAAAATAAAAAATAAAAACAGGAAATTATATAAAAACAGCATAAATTACAAAAAAATATACAATATAAATTACACAATAATAACAAAAAGCATAGAAATGAAAAACAAAAATTACATAAAAAATAAAAACATAGAAATAATAATAGAAATTACAAAAACAATCACAAAAAATGCAGAAAACAGATATTACAGTGAGATATAAAAAGATGAGAATCGATTGTTCTCTCTATATAAATGTAGAATAATATAAGATTGTTTTGAGGTTTATCTTGACTCCTAATGATATATTAATATTTCAAACACGTTCTGGTGAGACCCTACAATAGTTTATTTCCAGAAGATGGAAACAGTTCACAATCAAGGCAAAGCTCAGTTGCAGCATTCTAAAGTTGCACACACCACCAACCTGGATGAGTTGAAACTTAAGAAGGATAGGGTTGACTGTTGGTCATTGTGCCTCTATGCCAAAATACTGGGTGAGGCTGAACCAATCTCAACTGTGATTGAGAAAGCTAAGGAATGGGGGGTGGAAAGTAAGACTGATATTCAGTTGAGGGTAAATATCTGGTCTTGGTCCCTTGGAAGCCTAGCTTTAATCCATTTAGAGCCAAGTTTGAAACAGCTGATCTCTGGATTAGCTCAGGTCTACCGATTGAATGCTGGTCCAGAGATGACCTTGAAATAATCTTAAGAGATGTTGGTGAAGTTCTGAAATTGGATGATGACACTATTAAAATGTACAGAACCTTGCATCCTAGAGTGTGTGAGAGTGGATAACACTAGGCCTTTCATCATGGAAATTCCTCTCACAAATGAAGAGACTCAGGACAAGATTAAAGTTTTTTAAAAAGTATTTTTGATTTATGCATCAATTGCAGGTGGCATCGATATAAGTATCATGACTATCCAAAAGCAAGGAAGGAGCACCCAGCTGATGGTTGGGTTATACTAGTCAACAAAAAGAAAGAGTTAGTTCATAAAAATAAATTTGGTCTAAGACCTGGGATCTCTAAAGTCACTTGTAGACACCCCATTTTTGCACCCTTTGTCTTTTTGCAGCACTTTGAGCTTTAAGCATGCTTCAACTGACCTCTCAGCCAATTTGGGGGTATTTTTGAAATTTTACAAAAGTTTGGGCTTCAAGGATCCAAGACCATAGGTACGTAGAGCCCAAAAATCTGAATCCGATGACACCAAGATCACCCAAATCTGACATCATTTACCCCTTCATCTTAAGACCCAAAGCCGAAATCGATTCCATTCGTCCGCTCAGAGTCATTTTGATCATGAACCTCATTTGACATCAAATCAAAAATCCGAGATCATAGGTATGTAGAGCCCAAAATCCAACGACACCAAGACCACCCGAGTCCGACACTGTTTACCCATTCATCCTAAGACTCGAAGCCAGAACCGATTTCGATCGTCCAATCGGGGTCATTTTGATCTTGAACCTCATCTTACATCAAATCAGACATCCAAAACCATAGGTACGTAAATCCCAAAAATCCAAATCCAATGATACCAAGGTCACCCAAATCCGGCATCATTTACCCCTTCATCTTAAGACCCGAAGCTGGAACCAATTCTGATCGTCCGATTGGAGTCATTTTGATCCTGAACCTCATTTCATGTCGAATCAGAAATCCAACACCATAGGTACATAGATCCCAAAAATCCAAGTCCGCCAACACCAAGATCACCCAAATCCGACACCGTTTACCCCTTCATCTCAAGACCCAAAACTGGAACCGATTTTGATGGTCCGATCGGGATCATTTTTTATCCTGAACCCTATGCCACATGAAATCTGAAATCCAACCTTATTTATAGGTGGATAGATCTCAAAATTCCAAGTCCAACGTTACCAAGATCATCCAATTCCGACACCATTAGCCCCTCCATCTTGAGACTCGAAGCTAGATTCGATTTAGGCCCTCTGTTTGGAATCCTCTTCACAACAACTTCGAACCTAGGGCATCCAACGACCATATCCTTCCTCTCAACTTCTAGAACCGTTTTAAAATCCAAGATTTGACCAGCTAGGAGCCTCCAATCAATCAAGCCAATCACCAAAACTGGGAATGTCCAATTTAGGTAAATTGGTGAAATCTTCCACTTATTGCCTTGATTGATTGAGAGGATCTCTCTCAAAGCTGTCTTGACAGTCCCTTCCCTCAATCAATCTCTCTCCAGAAACCCTTTAAACCTCAACAATTGATATTCCTAGGCTCCCTATCTCAGCCCTCCATTCCCTTCTAAAACCCTTCTCAAAAATCTATAAATACCCCCCTTTCTCACATTTTAGACACACAATCCAACTTAGGGAGAGAACTCTACCCCCATTAGCTTAGAGAATACCCCCCTCCCTTCACGTCCCAAGCAGCCCCAAGCTTCCCTAACTCACGTCCTAGACTCACTCCCCACCATCTCCAACGTCCCTAGAGTTTCTCCCATATCATCTAGAAGCCAAAGAACACCCCCAAGTCATGGATACATCCAAGAGAAAAAGCATGTAGCGTTCTTGAAGCAACAATAGTGCAGTAGAAAAGAATCAGTCATCCAGCCGTGTTCGTTTGTCATTTGGGCCACATAACTCATATTTTCAGCCTTTCACGATGATCGGGGATTCAAGATTAAGAAGCTTCTAAACTTCACATAAAGAGGAACAAGCTGATTTTAGCTGAAGTCTTCTCCAAGGTATGACACTTGTTAATTTATCTAGTTTCTTGTTAATTTAATTAGCTGAAGTGTTTTAATCATGACACAAATTCTTCCCATCCAAATTTCACATGTCCCTTTTTTTTCTAATCAACGTTAGGCCTTCTCAACCGAGTTCTTTTTTTCTTTCTTGCAATGCATGCTTTAGAATATAGGTAATTTGATCATCATCATCCACTTTAGTTTGTCCATGCTAATTAAAGACTTGGCTTTATTAGTCGGCATTCATTTAGATTGATAATTTGTCAAGCTTTTCTTTTATCTTTATCCTTGCACCATTAAAAGAGTAAATACATAGTCCATCACTTAGGATTTTGTTAGTTTTCATGGAGAATAATTAGTTTTTAATTCATGTTTTCTCCACCCACTTGTTTCAATAATATCAATAATAGGTTATGACT